TGCAGAGTAAGCTCAATGACCTAATGATCTTGGCAGCCAAATAGCGTCGGACGGCGGGAGCAAGAGCGACATAGGTGCACGAATCAAGAAGGCTAGGGTTGCCTTTGCGAGTTTTAGAAACGTATGGAGATCCAACCAGATAAGTCAACGCACTAAAAACCGAATTTTCAACTCGAACGTGAAATCTGTGTTGTTATACGCCAGCGAGACGTGGTGTGTATCAGCGGAGAACCCTCAAAAGCTGCAGGTCTTCATCAACCGATGCCTGTGGTATATAATTCGTGCCTGGTGGCCTCACAACTGGATCTCAAATGCCGAGCTCCATCGTCGATGTCATCAGAAGCCGATAGCAACAGAAATTCGGGAGCGAAAGTGGAGGTGGGTCGGCCACACACTTCGACGGGGCGGAAAGGAAATCTGCAAGCAAGCGCTGGATTGGAATCCGGCAGGACATCGCAGCAGAGGCAGACCCAGGGGCTCATGGCGGTGGAGCCTCAATAAGGAAATTAAGCAAGTCGATAGGAATCTGATCTGGGCCCAGGTCAAGGCAAAAGCGAGCAGCCACCCAGGATGGAAGTCTTTCACGTTGGCCCTTTGCACCGCTGGTGGTGCACAGGACCCTTAAGTAAGTGACAACCAATGCCTACTGTGATTCTTTACACTCTTAGCTTGATTCAGTGAAATTTTGCTCAATAAATGCCTTAAGGGCGCGTTTTTAATATGTCCGGATGTTTTCGTGTTCAACCTTTAAATCTTAAGATCAATCCCTTGATTTTCGTTAGTAGTGTTCTGCATAGAGTTTCTGAACTTTTATAAAAAGGGAAGGGAATCACGGAGAGGTTATCATATTTATTCTTAAAAGAACTGGAAATGGAAATGGTTTTAGAAAATTCATGAGAGCATTTAAAAAAATCCTGTAATGAGTTTTACGCAAATTTGCATGACAATTAAAACGTAGACAAATTTGGCTGTCTATGTAATTACTCATTTAACTTAGTGATTCTTTCGACTCAACGGTATTCGGTTTAATGCTTATTTCAATAATATTTTAAAATTTCCAAAATTCCGGGAATATATGGGAAAAAATAGTGAAATCGATATATGCTGATAACCATACAAATTTCAAAAATACTTAATTTCAGTTACATTACTTATTTGACTTAGTGACCCGGCCCATTCGGCAAAACCCACCGCCCCCCCCTCCCCCAATTATTTTGAAACCCTTGTGCCGTTGTCGAGTATTGAACCATACAAGTTTAGGGGCATGTCTACTTAATGGGACGCATTCAGTTACTGCCCGGTCCAATTCCCGTTGTCAAAAAACATCGATTTCCACTTTTCACGAGCAAGAACCGAAAAATCAAATCATGGAACTATGGAAGTTTCAACTAATTCAATGTAATGTAGTCTACATAGCCAGTTCTTGAAAGTGCCCTGGAAAATGATGGATATACCTGCAATTTTTCATGTCTATTTGATATATGTTTCACATCCAAGATGCGTCACATATACTAAAACGGCCAGCGGTATTTAAGGGGCAAGATGATTCAGAAGGCACGTGTAACATGTGCATCAAAACATGTCAGCAACTTCCCACGCTTGCTATATTTGTTGGTCTCATAAGTGGCACCATGCCGCGACGAGACAAGCTATTCCAAAAAACCTTTTTCAGTCATCGAACCCATTTGAGCAATGCAATGCATAAATGAGTTCGATTAATTGAACGAAACGCATTCAGCAATTCTCACCAAAAGGCAGAAGTGTCAAATAACACTTTGGTTCATTCTTTCCCACTCTTGGTATCGATCACCAACGATCGAGTAAATAGCGAAAATACATAGTGGCTTCAAGTGTCTCCATTCTCAGCACCATATGTAAAATATTGTTCAATAAAACATTCTTAGTTTAATTTTCGAAGCGAAAGGTTCGTTTTTAGTAACTGCAATATCACGTCATGAAAACGTCAAATGGCGAAATAGTGAAAACGTTAAACACGGTATTACCAAGCCGGAGGCGGCGGGTTCGATTCCCGGTCCGGTCGAGGGAATCTTTCGGGTTGGAAATTTTCTCGACTTCCCTGGGCATAGAGTATCATTGTGCTTCCACACAATATAAAAATTCATGCAATTGGTATTGGCATCGAAAGCTCTCAGTTAATAACTGTGGAAGTGCATTTAGAACACTAAGTTGAGAGCACGCAATAAGCTAATATGTACTAAGCAATAAGCTTGAAATGCGAATAAGAAGAAGAAGAATGATTCAGAAAACTTCGGGCTTTTTAAAACTGACGATTTAAACACGATGCTTCAGAATCCAATAAATGGATTAGAAGGTGAAAATCTCGTACCGTACGTTCCGTTTTTGTTAATTATATGATTAGTTGGTCGTAGGAAGCATTTAGGCTAGAAAGTTTAACTGATGCTCCATTTTCCTCGGACGGTTGGTATTAACTCTCTCATGGCTTATGCCCATTACTCGTTTTCTGAAAAGAGGTGAAACTGACAACTTCTTGACATCTGAACTACATCCATTCAACTCACCTGCTTCAACTTCAGAGAAGATCTACAACTGATAAGAAATTAAAATGAATTGCAAGTTATCAGAAATTGAAATAAAGGCCTTCGGATATTCCTGCAAAATGTCAGGTACATCAGATTCAATACTGATCAGAAATTCAAATATTATATTCGGCTATTCCTGCAACAGGTCAGAATGATAAGAAGTTTTTCTGGAGACCTTACACTTATACGAAATTCAAATTTAGTCCTTCATATATTCCTTCGAAAGAAGATCTACAAACTGATCCGAAATTCATATTAAGTCCTTCTGATATTCCTGCAAGTCGTCAGGTTGATCAGATTTTGTTCTGAAGATTCACAACTGATGAGAAATTTAAATTAAACCCTACAGATATTCCTCCATGAGCCTTCCTTAGCTCAGTCGGTAAAGGCGCAGCTACAAAGCAAGACCATGCTGGAGGTGGCTGGGATTGGTTCCCGGTCCGGTCTAGGCATTTTTCGGGTTGGAAATTTCTCGACTTTCCTGGGCATAGAGTTGTGGTTGTACTTGCCACATAATAACACTAATGCAACAATGGTACAGGCATCGAAAGCTCTCAATTAATAACTGTGGAAGTGCATCTAGAACACTAAGTTGAGAGCACGCAATAAGCTTGAAATGCGAAGAAGAAGATATTCCTACAGATCATCAGAATGATCAATCATTATGCGGGGCATACAAAGGCCTACAACTGATCTGTATGGTTAGAAATAATTCTGAAGATCTAAATAAAACTGATCCCATAACTCAAATGAAGCGGTCCGGATATTCCTAAAAGAAGTTAGAGTGATTAAAATCCGAAGACCTTCAACTTATCAGAAATTCAAATCTAGTCCATCATATATTCTTCCAAGAGAAGATCTACTTCGGGAATCCCTCCAAAGAATGATTAGGAACTATTCTGAAGACTTACAACTGATGCGAAATTTAAATGAAGTTTTTAGGATATTCCGAGAGATAAGAGGTTAGGATGATCAGAAAGATTTACTACTGATCAGAAATTCAAATGAATTCCTTTGTATAATCCTCCGAGAGGTAAGGATGATCAGGAATTATTCTGAAGATCTACATCTGATGTGATGCGAAGTAAAAGGTACCCACCATCAGTTTGGAAGATTGCACGTCCTAAACTTGAGGAACGTCAAATTTGTTTGATTGGTCTTACAAGTTTCATCACCCACCAATATCGCATACGATTTTACTAAGTATCGCGCTAACATTTCTATTAAGTCCAGTTCATTGGTTGGTTAAAGTCAACGGCACTCAACAAGATAAGTAAAGATAGTTATTAATCACTAATGTTGGAAATTTGAAAGCTATAAACATCCCCATTCACATTTTCCCACCGTCTCAATCTTTTTTTTTTCAAGATACAAAGTAGTTAAACAAACAAACTCTACAGCTCCTCAAACGAAACAAAAAAAAAATCAAGTTCAACAACTTTTCAATTATCGAAAGTAATAACTTGTATTACGCACCCAGGAGGGAGTCACCGCAGTTCAACAGCAGTCAAACAAAATTTGAATTGCAAACGAGAATTTCACTTGATCCTATTGTTGAAACTTTTTTGTTTCCCATCGCAGCAGGCCTCTTCTTTTCTTTTTCTTTTTCTCCCTGAGCAGTGCCTAATCGATTCTCACGCCAACACAACGCGGGTGCGATTGAGTCAGACACCCCAAACGCGGTAGATCCCGTGGGATATGTTGGCATGGATACGGGAATATGTAATGCTCGATAATTGATTGATCGGATCGACTCCACGCGGCTCACCACACCGGTAGCAGCGATCAACCAAAACAAAAGCAAACACCAACACCCCCGATGCAAGTGTTTGTAAGAGAAAAAAAAACGAAAACTCAAACAAAGGCAGTAGGCCTTGCTTCCTCTCCTGGCTGGTGGTTCGGCGAATTGCATAACGCTCAACGTGGAAGCCGTTATCTCGCATGGAATCGCATGGTTTGCTGGGATTGGATCGGAAGAATAACACTGTTACTTTCTCAGCGAGCGTCGATCGATTCCGGGTTAAGTGGTGGCGATCAAGAACTGGAGCAACAGCAGATGTTTTGTGTTGACGACGACGCCCCGCGTGTGCGTGGGGCCTTTTTTTTCGGGAATATTGCGGATTGCAACTTGCAACGGAGTTGCGGTAAGGCGAGTTAAAAGTTCTCAAACGGGAGCGCTTTTTCCTTTTGCAATTTATTTTTTCGAGAGTGAGTGGGCCAGATGGGGGGGATGAAGGTCGAACAAAAAATTCGTGAGTGGAGAGGTTCTAGTTCGGTTGGATGGGTTTTAAAAAAAAATTAGGTTATAAACTTGGTGGTGCATCGTTGCATCTCACCGTCTGGTTGTCAGTCAGCTGACCGGGGACATGCGCTCTGCGAAAAGTGCATTCATTTTTACATCATACCTCGCATCGATTTTGCTGCCTCTCGTGCACAGTGTCAGACTGTAAATATTTCTTGTTTTGTTTTCGTTTCTTCCCGTTGAGCAGTCAGTGCGAAGATTCATATGAACATTTGAATCGCGTAATTCACCTCCTCTCGTTCAGCTGTTTTCTGTATTTAGATAGTGAACTTGACAGTGGCTTGACGTATACACGCTTTGTGCGTTGTATTCAATCTTCTCTGTTGTCACTTTCTGCAATGGCCAACTAGATCACGGAGGAAAAGAAGCCATTATCGATAGTGTTCACTGTTCGCTCCTGAAAGTGGGTAATACGGTGATTCAGTGTAGAATAGGGTCACGCCGAAAGAAAGCGACGAAGAAGATGAGTTTCGCAACGGCGGCATTCAATATCAACGATCTACCGTTCGAGGTTTGTGACTGATTTGTTTTTATTGCTTTGTTTTATTTTGTTTTTGATTCGCGTGACTTTATTTTGCAGATACTGTGCGATCTCTTTGACTACCTGTCGCTTGAGGATGTGAAAACCGCTTCGCTCGTGTGTCACCGATGGCATCAGATAATTTTCTCCGAGTTATACATCAAGCGCTTCAAACTGGTTCTCAGTTTGAACGAAATGTTGCCGCAGCTCAAACAGACGCTTCCGATTTTGGAGAAATCCGACCGAGAGTATTATAGCATAATTTTGAAAGCCAACCTCGGTAGACCGTTGACCGATGCTCGACTGAAGATTCTGAAGCTTGCGGTGCGCTCGATTTCGCAGTATTCCGAGTCGTTGTACTTTAACATGGCCGATCTACGATTGGAGTCGTGCGTCTCCGAGCGATTACTTCGCAGCCGGAAGCTTCAAATGTTCGACACTCGTGCAAAGTACATACCCCTCGGCATGGGACTAAAGGAGTCAATGCTTGCTGCGATTTGCGAGTACTCTACCGATCTAGTAGATCTGGTGATCGCCGAGATGAACATCAACAATCCAAAAGCCTTGGAGAAGCTATCTTCTCTGAGTCAACTGAAATTGCTCCTGATCAGCGACTACTATCCGTACATCAAACCTCCAATGCCTCCGATCAATCTTCCAAATCTGGAAAATCTCTCGCTCATCAATGTGACAGACGATGCAAACTTCTATTTCAAAGCGGATAACCTTAAGCGATTCTTCATCCACACCAACGGAACGGACGCTGCGAAAACCATGCAATCGATTGCGGAGAACATTCGCAACGTTAACAGACTGTGCGTTCATTTCACCGCACGGACGATCCTGGCGGATCAAATCTTCGAGCATTTGGACCGATTTCCCAATCTGATCGCGTTCGAGCTGGGAGGAGTTGCCGTCCCGGCGGATGCCCTCAAGCAGCTCAATCCAAGCAACCGGGTGCACAAATTGATCTTCGTGGAGTGCCACTTGGTAAGCCGTCGAAAATTAACTATCAATCGGGTTACTAAGATTTGTTTGTTTGTAGGAAACGCTCTTCATGACGGATCTGAAGGAAAAGCTAGTGTGCTTGAGGCAAATAGTGCTCGATTCGTGTTTCCTTTTTCACAAAAGCGAAGGATTCCAGAGGATTCAGTACCACGATTTGGAGCCGCTGAGACGAGCGATGCCCAGCTGTCAAGTGCTGCTCGATTATGATTAGGATGTGATAGCAGTGCTCTTCAGTGATAATCACGATTGAAGCGAGCTTTTTAGCTGTGAACTAATTTAATAGGGTTACAATTGAATTTGGATGTTTGTTGGTTGTTAGACATTGTTTAGATTGTTATAGAAATAAATGAAGTTTAGAAATTGTTATAAAGTTCAACACCAAAACACCAACCAGGGCGATACACAGGAGCACAGTAAGCACAATAATGAAAAACTTACTTTTTTCTTTCACTAATCACCAAAAGAAAGCCCCTGTAAGCTTGTGTCTCATTAAAATACGTTACACAACATGAATCATTTGGTTGACGAAAATTGCAACAATGGTTTATGCAATTCCCCAGAGACAGATATTTACTATTTTTTGCAAGTGGCCCATGCAAAAAATTGAGGAACTATCATAACCTTAAAATCTACCATTCAACTCGAAGATTGACTGTAACCAACCACTGAGACTAATGGTCATGTGCATCATGAGTATTGACGCGTTTCGCACGGCCAATGAGATCAACCCAAATTTGAGTTCAGTTTACTAATAAATCGCAAAAAGTGCAGGAACTCAGATGAGTAAATTTGCCAAAAAATCTACCGAAAATTGTACTCAGTCTAAGAGTAGTACCAATAGACTGAGATAATTCAATCTTTACTATTCTCATATTCGGGACTCACTCAAATTTGGGTTGATCTCACTGGTCGTGCGCCAGTAGGCCAGAAAAAAAAAACAATAAATTTTCCACGCAGCTGCAAAAAGGTTAACCACATTTCCCGGTCAACCATTTGGGACCCAAAAAAGCATTAATTCCCACAATTTTCCATCGCTGGACAGTGTTTAAAATTGGTAATAAATACAAACACACACAAAAAACACGATCCGCACAGTAGGCATTGGCAAGCGAGAGAAAAAAAAACACACACAAACGAAAAAGATGATTAACGAGCTACATTTGATCGAATTGGGTGCACCGGCTTCTTTAACTCTCAATGTTATTGTTCGCAGCTTGCTCGCAGTGATTGCTACATAAATCGAGTGCAATTGAACGCCAATAATGATGATGAATCTGGGAAAGAGTCGATTCACATCAATGAAGCATCCACTGACGGTACAACACTCATCCTGGCTGGCAGCACTGCACGCTTGAGAATGAAAACACACACACGAAAATCCCCAACTCTAGGTGACCGGGCAGCAAGCGCAATGGCGTGTTGCGAGGTTTCAAGCAAATAAATACATGACCCAATTTGCGGTCGTCAATTGAGTTGTGCAATATTGTGCGAGCCCAAAAAACCCAAACACTTAACGGAAGAAGGAAAACAATCCCAGTAGGTCTTGATCACTAATGTACCAAGATGATAGATAGGTACTTGATCGAAGTGAGCGTGGCGTGAGCCGGAGCCCGGCGGTACGACGAGAGGAAAATTGCGGCAAACCGTGCGCAACCGGCTATAATACGTATGCTACGTAAAAATGAAGGAAATTGACGATTTACAGGTCGAGAGCGCGGCTAAAGTAAATCAACTCAACTAAATAGACAGTCAGTGCTTGGCTTGGGTGTGAGATTTCGAAGATTGATGCATACCGGGGTTACAACTGGTGCTGCCGCGGTCGGTGGTGAAAACAGGCATTATTTCACAATTTCGCAAAATTTGAACAACATTTTAAAAGCGGAGTATCAACATATGATAGGTTACCGCTTCGGCACTCGTTAGATGCGAGTGGTTGAACTGGAACACATGAGCGCCGATGTTTTCTTTTCCTCTTCGACAGCACGCTGACGCTGGTGGAATGGTCCTCTGTTTGGGTGGTTGGTTTATGTAATCTTCGCTGGCAATTGGAATAATTTGAACGGTCAATTTTCGGCAATTGATTGGAAAATTATGGCTTCGGGTGATTTGAGTTGGAAAAATGAAATTTTCCTGCAGAGCCCCCAAGCTAAGCGGTATCCGAAAAGTTCAATGTCATCCAGTATCGAGAAGCAAGCGTTGAAGCTATTACTTCCGAATGGAGAGAAGGAATATACGGATGATCAAAACACTAAACAAATATAGTTACAAACGACAAAAATTAGCACGCCAGGTCAAGCTAGGCTAAAAATATCATCTCTCTGGAAGATCAATTGATAGCAATTCCTAAACCCAAGCTTTATTGTTCACAAGAGCTAAAATTTTATTATTCGGAATCATGAAACTACGATATTTTTTAAATGTAAGACACAGGAAGAGAAGGTAACAATTGTGTATGACACATAAATCCTGTCAATTTCGCTTCTAGAGTTTCCCAATCAGCGATTAGCTAAATATATGAGTGCTTACTCATCGCGATTACTGATTCTTTGCTCGACTGTCGAGCTGTTCAGTCCGTATTTTCGCTCGAGTTTTCGATTCGATAGTAATCATGTGCTCCAGCCTGGAGGAGTACAAACAAATAGGAAGTTTCCTGAAGAACAACAACGTGGACTTCTTCACGCATGATCTGCCATCGAGCAAGCCACTGAAGGTGGTTTTGCGTGGATTACCGTCGTTCGAGGCTGCTGCGGTGAAGTCCGAGCTGGAGCGGCTTGGGCTCCAACCTGAGGCCGTGTTCCAGATGAACCGGCGTCCCAACCAAAACACCAGCTTCCGTGATCAGTTGTTCTTGGTGCATTTCACGAAGGGATCCACCAGTCTTGTGGCTCTGAGATCCAAAATCCGGGACCTTTTTCAGGTCATCATCAGTTGGGAGCATTACAAACCCCAACATTGTGATGTAACGCAGTGTATGAACTGTCTCTCATATGGCCATGGAACCAAAAGCTGCCACATGAAGAAAAACTGCGGCAAGTGTGCTGGAACTCACTCAACTGCGTCCTGTGAGCAAGTCGATGACATCGAGCCAACGTGTGTCAACTGCGGTGGAAACCATCAAGCCTCCAATCGCGGATGTCCCAAGCGAGTGGAGTTCATTAATATCCATCGGAAGGCCACAATCAACAACCAGCTCGGTCGCCTTCGTAATCATCGTTCGCCTCCTGTACTAACGGAAGTCCAGTACGCAGTTCTCCAGCCCCGTCGACATGTTCCGAACCTAGCTCCGCTTCCGCTCAACAGCCAACAAGCCAATTCTGCGAGTATCCAAATGGTTCCCAACAGTCGGACAGTTCAGCATCGTCTCGCTGTTGCTGCGGCCCAGCCAATTCCAGGTTCATCCACCGCCCCTGGTTTATCATACGCTGGTGCTGTCTCAGGTGAATCTGTCGACGATTCTCCGTTCACCTCGGAGGAACTTGTGACGCTCGTGGCCGAGGTCATCATCATCATGCGCACCTGCAAGACTCGATCTGAACAGCTTCATGCTGCCTTGTCACTCGTCACCATGTATGGACCGTGAAGCTATAAAAATTGCAAATTGGAACGCTTGCTCACTAACGAACAAGCATAGAGAGCTACTCGATTTCCTCATCGCCGAGACGCATCTGAAACCCGAACTGAACGTATTCCTTCCCGAATTCCGGTTCGTCAGACTTGATCGCACCTGCTCTGGAGGTGGACGAGTGGCCATCGCTGCAAGACGGAACATCAGTTGCCGGTTGCTACCAAACTTCCAGCTGAAAACAATTGAAGCCATCGGAGTGGAGGTGAGCACATCACTTGGCCCAATCACCATCATCGCGGCATACTGCCCCAAGCAAACCAACATCACGGACGGGTCGTCAGTGGCCCTCCGGAAAGACATCATCAAACTCACCCGGAGGAGCGGGAACTTTACCATCGCTGGCGATCTGAACGCAAAACACCAAGCTTGGGGCAACGGTCGGAGCAATAGAAACGGCACCATCCTCAATGCAGACCTGCAAGAGGGCCACTATACCATCTTGGCCCCGGACTCTCCCACCCGGTTGAGTCGGTCTGGGGTCCATGCGACCATCTACATCTTCGTAAGCAACATGGGAAACAACATCTCGCAACCTGTGGCATTCCAGGAGCTGAGCTTGGACCACAACCCGGTGGTGGTCGAAGTTGGATCCTTGGTAAACCGATTCGAAGCTTCCCGGCGCAACTACAATCGAGGCAGCTGGGCGAAATATCAACACTGCGTCGACACAACCATCGACTACGATGTCCAACCGGGGACGTCCGAAGAGGTTGATCGGTGTCTACAATGAATCGAGGAGGCGATTTCCCGGGCCAGGGAACAACACGTGCCAGTATCCAGACAGGTGAGTAACACTCTGAACCTTGACAGCCCTACCAAAGATCTCATTAGACTTCGTAACACCATTCGTAGGCAGTACCAGCGTACTGGCCTGCCTAACTTGAAGACCAATTGTAATCGATTGACAAAGATCATTCAGGCCAGGATGGTGGATCTCAGAAATAACGATTTTGCTAGTAAGATCCGCTCTCTCCCAGTTTGTGCTAAGCCCTTCTGGAAACTTACAATTCTTAAAAACAAGCCTAGGCCCATTCCACCACTGACCCCACTGGATCGTCCCGGCGACCCAGTGGTTCATCTGATAACTCCTGAAGAGAAGGCTGCCGCAATAGGTCAACACATCGTCAGCCCTCATGAATCTGAGGTTGCTGAAAATGCAACCAATCTTCTTATAATTCCTAACATTTTTCCAGAGGAATCCGAGATTACGGCTGACGAACTTTTGGCCTATATCAAATCATCTAAAAACATGAAAGCCCCAGGTTTCGACAACATCCTTAATCTAGAACTCAAACACTTGAGTTCCAGATTCTACAACCATCTGGCACTGATTTTTAATCAGTGCCTCAGACTTGGCTACTTCCCCTCGTGTTGGAAGTCAGCTAAAGTCATACCCATCCGGAAACCTGGGAAGGATCCGTCCTCTCCTTCAAGTTAGCGACCAATCAGCCTTCTCTCAGGGTTATCAAACCTGTTCGAAAAAGCAGTGTACCACCGGCCACATCTGTCGATGAAAACAACTTGTTACTCGAGGAACAGTTTGGTTTTCGGAAAGGTCGTTCGACCGTCCACCAGTCTGTTTCGAAGACAACTGCCATGGCGATGTTGGACGTTGAAAAAGCGTTCGACAATGTCTGGCATGATGGCCTGGTGTTTAAATTGCAGCGGTACGGTCTTCCAATCTTCCTAGTGAAGATAATAAACAACTATCTATCAGACAGAACGTTCCGAGCCTCTATGAATGGCATCACATCGGATGCTTTCAACATCGGTGCCGGGGTTCCACAA